TAAACAACAGGTTGTACACATTAGCCCCAGAAATGAATGGGAACATGAGACTGAATTTTTAAAGCCTTGGCAACCTCTAAAATGTGTCTATGCTTCCTCTCTACAATTCCATTTTGTTGAGGGGAGTAAGCACAAGAATTTTGATGAATAATCCCCTTGCTATGCAACATATCATGAAGGTTTTTGTTAAAAAATTATGTGCCATTATTTGACCTAATGCATTTCGGGTGTAAGTGATATTGTGTGTGAACCATTTGAAGAAATTGTTTGATGGTGGAAAAATTGTCGGATTTAAATTGCATAAGAAATAACCATGTTACCCTAGAATGGTCATCAACTATGGTAAGAAAGTATCTAGCATTGCCATGGGTAGGTGTCCTATATGGACCCCAAACGTCCATCTGCAGAAGGTAAAAAATGTGTGCAGATTTTGATTCACTATGAGGAAAAGATAGTCTAGTATGCTTGGCCAGTGGACAAAAAGAATAGTGAGAATGATTTGATGAATTTGATTGATACAATTTAGGGTGTATAAGTGGTAAAGTGGTATAGGACACATGTCCTAGCCTTTGGTGCCATAATGTAGAATCATGATTCAAAGAATTGGACATAAAAGTTGCAGGAAAAATAGGCATTTTATTTGATTGCAAAACAAGGGATACAATATTTGATGAATGTAAGATATTACAAACATTTTTATTCATATGCCCTATGTTTGATACAAAAGAAGAAATGTTGAAATTTGGATCAAAGTAATATAGACCTTGACTATGCTTACCAATCCCCTTCAATTTGTCATTGTAGTAATCCTGAATTAAACAAAATTCAGGATAAAAGGTAACAAATAAATTATTAGAGGTTGTAAGTTTGGAAACAGAGAGTAAATTATGGTGAAAGTCAAGGATATGTAAGACATTAGATAAATGCAAACCACTATCCAGATCAACTGACCTTACATTTTTTACATAAGTCTTAGTACCATTTGGTAGACCTACAAGGTACTTGGTGGAAGGTCCTATGGCAGCAGGTGATTTCAGGAGTGAAAAATTGAAGGTCATATGATCGGTTGCTCCTATATCAATTATCCATTTATTGTTATCAAAACAAGAAAGTAAGGCAATAGAGGTATCTACGAGATTGGCTGCTAGAGGTGAGACATTTTCTTTGCTCAACAATTGTAAGATTTGATTGTATTGCTCAATGGTTAGAACTGCTCCAACCAATGCTGTGGAATTTCCATTCCGAAGACTCAGTGGTCAAATTCTATGCATTTGCTTGGTTGGTAGAGACTTCGGCCTTGGAATTACTTTTTCCTTTTGTAAATTGGTAATCAGCTGGATAACCAATTAGCTTATAGCAATTCTCTCGTTTGTGTCCAGGTATGTGACAAAAGTCACATTCAATATATGGTTTTTTTCCCTTGTACTTCTGCCCCTGGTTTTGTCCTTTGCCATTATTGTGTGCATACAAAGCAGTACTTACTTCATAATTTTTATTCATCCTAGCCAAAAAATTTTCACTTTCGTCCTGATGAACCACAAAATATGCTTGTTTGACACTAGGCAGAATCTGACTTCAAACCATTAAGTACGAATCATTCAATCCCATCAAGAATTGCAGTAGCTTTTGTTGATTTAGATGTTCCAGATATACTTTTTCCGAGACACTATCTGGAGCAAGCAGAGTTACTAATGAATCAAGCTCATCCCAAAGCAACTTAAGCTTGTTCAAATAGATTGCTACCGAAGTTGTGCCTTAAGTCAAATTAAAAATTTCTCGATGAAGACCAAAGACTCTTGTACCATTGATTTTGTTGTATTGTTCCTTTAGGTCTTGCCATACCTGAGCAGAACTTGTTGAATACACTATCCCATTAAAAATGTCCTTTGAAACAGAATTAAAGATCCAAGCAAGAACCAGCGAGTTGTACCTCTCCCATTGCGAAACTAAGAGAGAATGAACTAAGAGCTTTGTGCATGTTCCATCCACAAACCCTAACTTATTTTTTGCACAAAATGAAACTGTCATGGGTTGACTCCAAATACCATAGTTTTCAGTTCCGACGAGCTGTTCAGATACCAACACAGATCCTGGCATATCTAATGGATGAACATAGAGAGGTGAGTTGGAGTCTATTGAAGGAGCAACTAAAATCTTCAATCATATTAGCTATTTCGATTAGAAGAAGTACAAAATAAAGCTGAAAATCAAGTTGAGAGAACAATAGCTTTTGAGCTAGATTCTAAAGAAATTGAAGAAGATTAAGCTTCTTTGAGCTCGATTAAAGTAAAATCATACCCTAATCGAACTGATTTTGATCGAGATGCAGAAAGCTTCTGATGCTCTGATACCATGTTGATTTACATGGAAATGATACAAAGAAGAAAATATTTGGGAAAGTTGCAATCTGTCATTTATCGATGAGTAATGTTTCTTTATATACAACAAGATAACCATAGTTAACCACTAACCAAAGTTAACTAAATTAAGTAACAACCTTACCAACAAATTAACAGACTAAACTGAATTTATTAACAAACTAAACAAACTAAAACTATACTGATTTATTACTGTATGTGTAATATTTATTTTAAGTTTCTAAAAAATAAAAAATAAAAAGAAATTACTCTAGTGCTAGAGTTGATTGGACTATAGCAACTGAAGTGCTAGAGTGGTTTTCCCTAGTTGCCAGAATGAAGAGGATAAAAGTGAAAAAGAATTGGATTAAAGGTCTTATTTATAAACCAATTAGAAAAATGCCAGATTTTAATTTGACCCCTAGAAAAGGGTTGCGTAATTAATTCATAAAGAAGTATTAAAAAAGTGTACAAATAAATAAAAATACAAATGCAAACATAGTTTGATTTGTATAATGTATAAATCTCTATCTCTATGTGATTGGTTTGGGCTCAAAGCCTCACAGCCCACCGCGTGGGGCGGATGAAACTTGCATTTCCTCGATTTGATGACCTTTCACAAAATAGTAATTTGTCTTGGTTTGACGGTGTAAAGAGATCAAGGACTTATTCTAACATCTAAGAAATCATGTACACGGTTGGTTTAGATTGTAGGTTGGTTTTTAGGCAAGCAGTTGATAGCTTTACTATGGTTATCACTTCAAAAAGAACTTCAAGTGGAAGGCATTGGTCCAGAACATCATTTAGCACCATGTTCAACCTCGTCTAAGGAGATGATAGAGAAAGGATGATTGTGTGAGCAAGCTCTGATAAGAAAAATCAAATGTTGAATATTCATTTCATATACCATTTATTTGAATAAGGTCATTTACAACTAGCTATATTACCGGTGCAAGGTATCCATATGTGTCAGAATGTTGAATCCAATCGATCTATTTATCTCTCTTCTTCTTCTATTATTATTATTTTTTTTTTTTTTCTTGTGTGATCAGAATTTTTTTGTTCGACAGTTTGTTAGCAATCACTCTGGAACTTCGAAATTGTTAAGTGAAAATGTAGCCAGTACTTGCAACAAAAATTAACTTGGAAAACACAAAAAGTAGATTTACAACAGAAAGCAAACACCCTTTTGGTTGTCACTAGCAGCTAAAATATTTACTTTTCAAGGACAATCTGCATGGTTGGTCTAGATTCTGGATTTTCATCTAAACACAATATAGCCACCTCCAAGATGCATTTCAGTTTTTCCTCAACTTGACGTGATGGTGGTGGGAGCCTTGAGTCTAGCATATCATTAAAGCTCAATGTCCATGTTGGGAGGCGAACCTGAAAGTGATGAAGGAAAATCTACTGGATGTTTCCCTATGATCACTTTCAGTTTTTTTCTTGTAACATTACCGCACAAGACCTCGGTGCTTGAAAACTCTCCAATGTCTTTCATTTCAGGTTTATTTTTTTGTTGAGAAAATCTACACATAAATTTTGCCTATTATTGCACTAAGAAAAAAATGAGGTTATGTTGAAGAAAGGAATCTGATCGTTGGCAGAGTAGGACATTCAAGTAAATACTGATAATGTATTTGATACTTAAGTAAGGGTCTTTATCTTATTTGCTTAAGATCACCCTCGTGTGTGAGTGGTTGTACTTCTAATACGAATTTTCATGACTCGGCCCCCCTATTGTCTCAATCTACCATCTTTACTAATCAAATAATTCTAATTTATCAAATTATTTTCAGATTCAATTAAGTATGTTGCTCAATAAATAGAAAATTGATTGCCATGCCGCTTCGCCTACCTAGCTACCTTCGTCGTTTGGATCTGGAAATACAATGACAAAGACAGCAATACAAGATATAGCTTGCTTTAGAAAATATAATGAAATTCAGTTTTCATTCAATCTGGTACTGTGTAGAGTACAATTCATCTGAAGGAATAAATTAGTGCTGTATTATATGAATGCGTTAAGTTTAAATTTTAAGCATTGTTTTTTATCGTAGATAAATTATCACAAGAAAAACCATCAACTAGTTAATTTTAAAATTTTTTAATTTATTCCAATCTATCAAACCATTCTTTAAATATTTGATCTAATCCCATCTGTTGAACTAATCGAATTCAACAAAAAGAAGAAAAAATGATCAACTAAAATTAAATGTGTTAGCTTTAATCGAATTATTTACATATTTGGTATCCTAATATAAAATTAGCTATGAAAAAATAAGATATAATAAAATATCAGATTCATTGTGATGTATTTAGGCTAATACTCAAGCTAGTATATATATTTCGGAGTCCTGTATTAAACCCACGGTGTGACGAAAGAAATGAGATTGAGAAGGACACCAAACTGATGACTGCAACATGAACCCCAATCCCCAATCTTTTGCAGCCCAAGAATGAGGGTTTAATGCACGCAAAAAGGATACTGTGGCATCCTTCGATCCCAATGCTGCAATGCATACAGTTACTTTGAAACTTATATTTTTTGTTGATGAACCTTACTAGGATCTTAACTCTAAAAGTAACAGGCGTGATCTAACTTCTAAATAAATGACCGATCCCACGGTTTATTTCATAAGCTTGTGATAACTGATAAAAATCAAACTACATGTTGATAAATTACTCCGGAGTTTGAGGGTTCAGAAGGATTGCATTGTTTTACACAAGTAACTGATTTTACAACGCACTGCTTTTGCAGATACCCACAAATTGCCTTTTGTGCTCATAACTCCTTGGAAACCATGTCCATGGTTGGCCTCAATTGTGGATTGACATCCAAGCAAGTACTAGCAAGGTTACAAATTGCTGTAAGTTTAGCATGAAGTGCAGGTGGAGGAAATGGAAGACGTTGGTCCACAATATCTCTCAGTAGCCTGTTCTTCTTCACCCTAGTCAAAGAAGAGGACAGAGAAAGAATAATATCACCTGGATGTTTTCCTTTGATCACTTCTAGTGCTAACACTCCGAAGCTATATACATCACATTTTTCAGTTACCTTCATTGTGTAAGCAAGCTCTGCAAAAATGACAGACAAATGAGATCATCATATACATGTGTCATCCTCATCCATTCTCTATAAAGGTTACAATAGATGAATTATATGTATACCTGGTGCAAGATATCCATATGTACCCAAAACTACAGTCCAATTGGTTGAGCCTGGCTGGAGAACCTTGGCAGCTCCAAAGTCCGAGACATGAGCTTCATAGTCTAAATCAAGCAACACATTCTTGCTTGATATATCTCGATGGACAATTGGTGGGAAACAATCATGATGTAGGTAAGACAAGGCCTGAGCCACACCTTTTAAAATACTTATTCTCTTACTCCACCCCAGTTCCTTTGCTTCTACCTCACATCCCAGAACTTTATTCAAGCTACCCTTTTCAAGGTACTCATAAATTAAAAAGGAGTGTTGAGCATGCAAATAAAAACCAAAATATCTCACAATATTTCGATGATGTATCTCCGTTAATGTTTTAACTTCATTCAATAATTGTTTTTGGTTTGCCATCTCGCCAGGATGCAAAGAATGAGTATCAAATTTTTTTACTGCTACAAGCAGCCATTCTGTTAATTCTGCTCTGTAAACACTTCCACATCCTCCCCTCCCAATACAATACTTGGCATCAAAATTTTCAGTTGCTCTCATGATTTCTTTATAAGTTACCTTTTCTGCAATGACTGATAAAGTTGAAATCCAAAATTCCCCCACGCTCTCATGATTTCTTCTCTCCCCTCTTGGACAACTAATTAATGTGCTCTCGTTATTTCTTCTCTTCCTTCTTCGACAAATAATTAACATTTTGATCACCACAATTAAAAGAGTAAGTCCTCCTAAAAGAGGGAACACAATACTGAACACCAATTGCCGGCCCTTGCTTAAGTTCTGTTTGGGTAATGTGANTGAATCAAGCAACACATTCTTGCTTGATATATCTCGATGGACAATTGGTGGAAAACAATCATGATGTAGGTAAGACAAGGCATGAGCCACACCTCTTAAAATCCCTATTCTCATATTCCAATCCAGTTTCCTTGCTTCCACCTCACATCCCAGAGCTTTATTCAAGCTACCCTTTTCAAGGTAATCATAAATTAAAAAAGAGTGTTGAGCATGCAAACAAAAACCAAAATATTTCACAATATTTCGATGATGTATCTCCGTTAATGCTTTTACTTCATTCAATAAGTGATTTTGGATTGCCATCTCACTAGGATGCGAAGAACGAGTATCAAATTTTTTTACTGCTACAACATGCCCTTCTTCTAATTTTGCTCTGTAAACACTTCCATATCCTCCCCTCCCAATACAATATTTGCGATCAAAATTTTCAGTTGCTCTTATGATTTCTTTATAAGTTGCCTTTTTCCCAATGTTTGATACAGTTGACATCCAAAATTCCCCCATGTTCTCATGATTTCTTCTCTTCCCACTTAGACAACTAATTAAATTGCTCACGTTGTTTCTTATCTTACTTCTTTGAAAGATAATTAGCACCACAATTAAAAGAGTAAGTGCTCCTAAAAGAGGGAACACGACAGTGAACACCAATTGCCAGCCCTTAAAGATCTGTTTGTGTGATGTGAAAGTTTTGCAAGGTAGTCGTAGGCTGCTAGCAGCACCACACAATCCTCTATTCCCTTCTAATGCTTCCACTGGAGCGTATCGAAATGCTCTACTATCGGGAATTGGACCCTGCAACTCATTATAGGATATATCGACAAATGACAAACCTTTCATTCCTTCAAAACAACTCGGAATTGAACCAGAGAGGTTATTGTAGGAGAGATTAAGGTTCTCCAAGTTCTCCAAACAGCATATTTGAGACAGTATCTCTCCTTCTAGCAAGTTATGACTCAAATCTAGAGCTGATAATTGAAATAACTTTGCCAATTGATCTGGAATTTCTTCATTAAGCTGATTGTTACTCAAATTCAAGTAGTGTAATTTCAACATGTACCCAAGATCATTTGGGATTGACTTGTTCAATCTATTTGCAGACAAGTCAAGGTACTCAAGTTCAATGAGTAAGCCAAGTTCCTGAGGTATACCTCCAGAAAGTTGATTCCCATTCAAAACCAGATTGTTCATAGAAACCAACTTTCCTAGTTCCTTAGGAATCTTCCCAACCAAATGATTCGAAGAAAGATCAAGCACATGCAATCGAGATGAATTTCCAATCTCTGGAGGTATCCTTCCTGTAATTTGATTCCATGCAATCTTTAGGGTACTTAATTGCGGGCACTTTATCCAATTGGATGAGATTTCACCATAAAATTTATTATGGCTGAGATCTAAGAAAGTCAAATTTGGGTAGATGCCAAAATCTTTCGTGATATGTCCAGTGAGCTGATTGTGTCCGACCAGTACTCTGACTAGGCTTGTACAATTTTTCAAGCTTATGGGGATTGGACCAAAAAAATGGTTGTCATGTACATCTAAGTACTTGAGTGATCCACTTCGGCAAACACTATGGGGCAAATTTCCAGTGAAATGGTTGTCCTGTAGTACCAGTCCAGTCAAGTTCATGAAATTTCCAATTTCTTGATGAACAGAACCAGAAAGACTATTATCCGACAAGATCAAAAATTTTAAGTCACTTAAATTATAAATTGAAACAGGAATTGAACCACTGAGTTGGTTTTCATTTAATCCTAAGTAAGAAAGAGATTTTAATTTTCCTAACTCTTTGGGAATGGAACCAGAAAAGTTGTTATGGCAAAGATACAAATATTTTAGGTTGTTCAAATTACCAATGAAAGAAGGAAGCAAACCACTTAGTTGAGTTTCACACAACCTTAGATCAGAAAGAGACTTCAAATTTTCCATAAAATGAGGAATGGAACCAGAAAGGCTATTCTTATCTAGATACAAAAATTCTAAGTTACTCATATTACCAATAGAAGGAGGAATAGAGCCACTTATTTGATTTTGCTTCAACTCGAGTCTGAAAAGTAATTTCAGATTTCCTATCTCCTTAGGAATTGAGCCCGAAAGTGAATTATTAGAAAGAGACAATTGAGCCAAGTTGCTCAAATTGACCAAAGAAGAAGGAATCAGACCGCCCAAGTTGTTATGGGACAAGACAAGCTCTTTAAGAGAACTTAACTGGCCTACTTCTTCTGGTACTGAACCATTTAACTGATTGAAAGAAAGGTGAAGGATCTCCAGATGTGTTAAAAGGCCAATTTCTGGTGGTATATTCCCAGACAATTGATTATTTGACAAATCAAGGTGTGTGAGGTTGGAGAAATTACCAATCTGAGGTGGAAGGCTTCCAAAGAGTTGATTCATGCTCAGATCAAGATACAAGAGATGAGGAAATAATGAGAAGGAGAATTCATCAAGTGTACCTTCTAAACTTGTATTCGTAAGGATAATACTTTCAACACGTTCGGCATGGTCGCAAGAAATTCCGGCCCAGGTACATGCGCTTAGTTGGGTAGAATTAACGGGATAAAGAGTCCACGAAGGCAGGAGAGACTGGTCATGATTCCGAAGACTGTCTTTCCATTTGACGAGGGCATTCGCTTCATCAGAAGAATCAGAAGCAAGATTAAGTGTAAAGTGTAACATAACAAGCAAGCAAAGGGAAACAAGTGAAAACACTCTGTTAAAGGTAGACAACTCCATTGTTTCTCTTGTTTTCTGAATATAACACGGAATATTTTTATATACAAAGACCTAGATGCTTGAAAAGTCTATCACCGTCTTTCATTTACTCTAGAGAGAAATTTCCTGCAACTTGCACCTAGTGTGGACAAAAAATAATCCAGTCTTCGTCAAATGGAAACTTCACAAAATTTTCCGAAAAAGTGATTTTGTAAAGTTTGCTTTATTTTTTTCCCAATATAAAAAAAGAGAAAATTATTTAAAAGAATTTTTTTTTTTTTTTTTGGAAAAATTATAAACTGAATTTTTTTAATTGATTTAGTGGATCAGACTTTCATCTATTTTTTTTTTTTTTAATTTTACCTTTCTACAACTTTTATGCCCTCACTCTAGTAATTCTAAAGCTTGAATCATGTATGTGACTCTAGCACTAGAGTGACTCAACTCGAGCATAAGATTTTATTTTATTTTATTTTTTTTGTTGTGAGATCAGATTCTTTTCTCTGTACATCGCTAATTTCTCATTACTTTTCAAATAATGCATATTAATCAGATTCTTTCTTAGAAACGCTATATTCTTTGAGTTCAATGAAAAACAGAGAAGGTTTCGGTGGTCTGTTAGCATGTAGCAATCACTCTGGAACTTCGAAATTGTAGTAGTAACTAACTTGGAAAACACAAAAAGTAGATTTAGCAGGTATACATAGCTTACAACAGAAAGCAAACACCCTTTGGCTGTCACTAGCAGCTAAACTATACATATGTATAAACAAATAATCAGATTTCAAGATTAAAGGAGAGCAAGTAAGAAAAGGGATTAAAACTTTTCTGTATATTAGCTCATATTCAATATACTATACAATGTTGATATTTATATGCACGTGTTGGGATAAATCCTACCCCAGACAGATTTACATTGAAAAGTTAAGAATGTCGCTAAATGAACCTCCACTAGAAGAACCCTGAGAAGAGTCTACTGAGTCAGCTTCCACCTATATAGCGCCACTTTAGCTTTGTCCTTTACAGGTAGCTATTTTTTCGGGTAATATCAAATCAATCCATGCTTGTGTCAAATGAAAGAAAAGAGATAACAAGCCATCATTTTGTGTCTTGGGTGTGGTGGAGCTGCTGTGGCAGTGTCAGGTCAGGTGCCACATCGGAGTTGTAAGAGAGGTATATGAGAATAGGTTGTTGGCGTAACATTACTCATTAGAAAAAACATACCAAATCTTCAGCTATTATGTTCATATTTCCAACAGCTCTGGAGATGGCATCAAACAAGGATTTTCCAGGTCCCACCTACTGTCATCAAATGAGTATCTAAGATTGATAATTGAATATTTTTAAAAGATTATAGCTTAATATGATTTGCAGAATCTAACCTTCCATCTTCCAACCATTGCAACCTTTGATTCTGTACAAAAGTTGTATAATATATTAGTTTACACAGTATGTCAGTGCAACAAACATCAAGTTATCTGTCAAATGAATATCATCTCACCAGATGGAACAGCCCAAAAGCCAGCAAATCCTCCAAAGTGGTCAATCCTGAATTAATCATATAAATCCTGTGCACGTTTTAAGCGGCGAATCCACCATGAAAATCCATCTTTCTCCATGGAGTTCCAATCATACAGAGGGCTTTTAAGTCAAACACGAAGCTAATAGATAAGCTAGCTAATATTGTATGCTTAAAACTACAAGAAGAGTATTACATATGAGCAACAACAGATGATTGATGAGCACATCATCTTCAAGGTATTAAATAAACAAATGAATATTAAATATGGAGAATATGGGTAACGACATTTATGTGGCACAATTTGAATGCTCAGATGTAGTTGCTAGGCAGTACAATATATGTATACAAACCTGTCCCAAAGCTGACCAGTTACACTGAAGGCATCAGGAGGAACACCACTAACTAGAAGAGGAAAACCACTCCTGACAGTCACCTGTATGTGACAATTGACATCTCTGGCAACAGTTTGATGAAAGACTCACCAGCAAAAAATGCTTTTTGTTTGCCCAAATAGCAGCACTATGATAACCTACATAGATGGACATGTCTCCCATTATACTAATGCCCTTAGTTTGTGCATAGCTGCTAACTTTTTGCCATTACCTTTAGGATAAGAACTGTTGTGCAACGAATACATCAATCTATATAAGTGAAAACAAGAATAGACAATCATTAGGTCATCTAGCATCTTAGATGTTGAGAGAAATTACAAGCAATCAAATAAGACTGAGTCATGTAGTTCTTACAAAATCCTTTTTACGTTGGTAAATTTCTTCCAGGGCAGAAAGATGGCGATTTTTCAAGGGTTCAGGCCAAAAATACCAACTGAATGTATTGAGAGTATCATCGATAGCAGCAAAATATGCTGCATCTTCAAGCCAGCCTATGATAGTGGGGTAACTACTCAATTCCATGAGAAACACATCCAAAGAGTGAAATCCAACCAAACTATAATCCAAAGATAATTGTAACTACATCCACTTTTTGCACTTAATTAACATTTTAATTCGATTTCTCAACAATACAAATCCAACTACATGAATCACTGAAAAAAAAAAAAAAAAATGAAAAATGTGAAATTTCTCACTTGCTATGTTCTGGTCTTTGCGGAAATCTTCAAGCTGTTTTTTAAGTTCACCATCACTTTGGATGAGCCTCTTCGCAGCCTAAGAAAGGACTACCATAAGATAAGATTTTCTGTAATAACAGAATCAGCTATTAATATAAGAAACAGCTAATGCAGCATGACCACTAAGACTCAAGGGACCAGTGCAAACTTTCTATTCCCTTCTTTGACATTTTTCTTCATTGGTTTAAAGCAAGATGTGTTTTTCTGAAAAAAGAAGGGCCTGCAAAGCCAAGTAGCAGTTTGTGCACTTTTGATATTTATCCATGGATTTGAAATTATCATACATATAACGGCCTTGAAACCGTTTTATATTAGATTCTGACATTCTGTATAGACCCTTCAACCCTTACTAATTTTAGATATCTGGGTGGTTACAATAACATTTCTTTCATTTCTGATTCTGTCTAACCAACCTCATTAGTAACACCGAAGCAACTTTTCTTTTAATGAATTAGACTGAGCGAAGCAAAAGAGGAAAATATACATGAAAGAAATATATAATTTGCCAAAGTAATGTATACTAGTAAAAGAACTTCCCCAGACCATTTACCTTAGCTATCAAAGGATCTTTCAAGTCAGCTACCGCTGAAAAGTTCACACGCTCGGCATCACTGCACGAAAGATAGAAATAAGAACAAACACATAAACAAGGAATACAAAAATGGCTTGATATTGTAGATGCAAAAAATCTACCGTCATGAAAATAGGGTCTGATCCCGTGAGGTTGAGGCCACTGACAATCTGCTAGACCTACATACATGAAAGGGCAAGTGTGAAGCTTCCGGAAAACACCGGGGTGGTGTTTGCCATAGGCACTCCGACGCTCAAGTCAGCGAGGCTGAAAGAGATTATTTGATAAGAATTAAGGAGATGAAGAATTACCAAGAGTCTTGTCGGAGGCTAGGACTACGGTAGAGGTGTCGGGTTCTTAGGAGCAAGAACTTTAGGAGCAAATAGATGGTTTTGAGTAGTGTAGATTGACTATGAGAGATTTCATGCCTAATGAGAGGGCAAGCCTCTGTTTTTATAGTGAACCCAAGGGGTTGGAATCTTAGTAGGACACTAAGTCCTATTTTGGGAGATAATCTCTATCATGAAAGAGATATGATTTCTTGACCTTATCAGATTAAATTTAATAGTTTAAATAAGATTTGGAATCTTTGTAGAAGAGGAAATAGAATCGGATTCTGATTTCCTATTTATAGACTGTTGTAGGCTAATGAGCTGAAACCCAGTTTAGCTTAACTTATAGGATAGCCCAACTCATAGAGTGAGTAGTTCACAAGGTGATTTTAAGCATAGGCCCAATCGGGATTGGGTTGAGGCCTTGGGCCATAACATATTTATTTCGTTGTTCGGTCTCGTTAAGCCCAAGATAATTTTTGGCCCTAACAGTTAGTCCCCCACTCTCTAAGTTAAAGAGTATTTAGCTTAGAGAGTAGGTTTAATTGAATGAGTGTAGACTGAGCGGATTAATGATAGCAGCTCGTCAGGTCGGATGGATTGTTGTGTGGATTAGGTCGATGACTTGTCGATTTGAGGTGTAGGTCCTTCAATCGGTCTGGGCTGATCGAATGTGTAAATTTATGAATCGGGCAAGGCTGATGGAATGTGTAAATTCATGAATCGGGCAGGGCTGATCGAATGAGTAAACTCATGAATCGGGTTTAGTCGATCGAAGGTGTGAAAACTCACGAATCGGGCAGGGCCGATTGAAGGTGTAAAATCAGGAATTGGGCAGGCCTGATCGAAGGTGTAAACTCGTGAATCGGGCAAGGCCGACGTGAATCGGGCAAAGCCGATCAAAGGTGTAAACTTGTGAATTGGGCAGGGCTGATTCGAAGGTGTAAACTCGTGAATCGGGCCGAGCCGATTCAAAGGTGTAAACTCGTGAATCGGGCAAGGGCCGATCGAAGGTGTAAACTTGTGAATCAAGTAGGGCTGATTCGAAGGTGCAAACTCGTGAATCGAGCAGGGTGGATCCGAAGGTGTAAATCCGTGAATCGAGCAGGGTCGATCCGAAGGTGTAAATCCGTGGATCGAGCAGGGTCGATCCGAATGTGTAAATCCCTGGATCGAGCAGGGTCGATCCGAATGTGTAAATCCGTGGATCAGGCAGGGCCGATTCGAAGGTGTAAATCCATGAATTGAGCAGGGTTGATCCAAAGGTGTAAGTCTATGAATCGAGCAGGGTCAATCCAAAGGTGTAAATTTGTGGATCGGGCAGGGCTGATCCGAAGGTGTAAATCCGTGAATCGAGTAGGGTTGATCTGAAGGTGTAATTTCTTGGATCGAGCAGGGTTGATTTGAAGGTGTAAATCTATGGATCGAGCAGGGCTGATCCGAAGGTGTAAATCCATGGATCGGGTGGGGCCGATCCGAAGGTGTAAATTCGTGAATTGAGTACGGTCGATCCGAAGGTGTAAATCCATGAATCAAGCAGGGTCGATCCGAAGATGTAATTCCGTGGATCTAGCAGGGTCGATCCGAAGGTGTAAATCCGTGGACCTTCGGATCGACCAGGGCCAATCCGAAGGTGTAAATCCATGGATCGGGCAGGGCCGATCTGAAGGTGTAAATCCGTGTATCGAGCAGGGTTGATCCGAAGGTGTAAATCCGTAGATCGAGCAGGATCGATCCGAATGTGTAAATCCGTAGATCGGGCAGGGCCAATCTGAAGGTGTAAATCCATGAATTGAGCAGAGCCGATTCGAAGGTGTATGTCAAGTGGAGTTGGTATGGAGCTTGCAGTTGAGTCGGCATGACCGACTTTGTAGTTGAAAACATTTGATTGAAGCTGGAGCAGTGACATGCATGGCATGGATGTTTTAAGCAAAGAGTTGAATGGAGAGTCAATATGCATGATGTGCATGTGTTATAGACCGAATGAAGAGTGAGCTAAATGGAAATGTAAAATGCATGGGCTGCATGTGTTCAAGTAATAAGTCGAATGTAGAAAAAATAAACCAAACTGAGTGTAAGTTAAGAGGTGAAGTAATACGCATGGCAGCATGGCGTGCACGTGTAATAAACAAAAAAAAAAAATTAAGCCAAATGGAGAAAGAAAAAGACAAATGGGGTGAATGCTTCTACTATGTGATTGGCAAAAGCGGAGCAAAATGAAGTTTTGCGTAAAACATACCAGGAAAAAATGGAGCGCATGCCAAATGTGCCAAGGTGGTGTCGAATGGAGGATCATTTAAGGGAAGGATGCGTTTGCGCATGCCCCGGTAGGTGCTGCTTTGCTCGCTGATGCAATTGTCGCTGCTGTTGCACTGGCTTCTGCATTATTTGACTCTGCCTCTAGTGTTACTGCATTTGTTGTTTGAGTTGTGGGGACTGCAGCATTTGTTGGTGCTCCTGTTTCATATGCTGGTGTTGTATCGTATTTGAATTTGATTAGAGGGGATTAATATTTGACGGCAGCATATTAACTCCACTTTGTGATGACAAAGTATTCCTGTTTGCTTGTTGAGAAGTACCCACAGAAATTTGTTGCAGAGATCCAACAGAAACCTTAATTGATGCTGTAGCTGTTGCAACTATGACTATTTCCCTTGACTCGGGAATGAAGGTGCACTTTACTGGCTTTGTTTCTGCAATGGAACCTTGGATTGTTGTAGCATATGGACAGAGTCTTGATTAGTTTGCATGCTTGAGTTTCTAGACTGATTNCATAGGAATTCATGTTATTTGATTGTACCTCATGGGGATTTTTGTTATAAACCCCTGAGGGGGCGTTTGGTTCAAGAAATGTTGGATTACTGGAAAGTTAGATTACCCTGAAGATTACTAGGAATCTTTAGGGAAATGTGTTTGGTTAATTGACGGGTATGTTATATTAATATGTTTGGTTGGGAGGAATAAATTGATGGGTATGTTATTTAAATT